TTACAAATTTATTTTTGTTAACATTTCGGAAGAAATCAAATTTAATTAAAAAAAGGAACGTTATTCCACGATTTCATTTCTCGGCACCATTTAGATTTTTTTTAAGTTCCTCAACTACTGTGTGTACATTAGACCATACCGAAAAAAAACTTCGCCATACACGCCAGACTAAAAATTTTATTTTTCCGAACGTAGGGGTCGCCTTTTTACATTCTCCGCTATACGTATCTTCGGCATTTACAGTCGGATCTTAAGGTATATCGATGTAAATTGTTGTGTTACCCAAAGTTCATTGAATTCAAGCAGCCCAGTGTTGCCTTTTAACATTTTTCGTCATATTTTTCGGTGACACCTACATTTGGAAATGATTTTTTGTAAATAGATCTACTGGAAATCCCAAAATACTTTGCAAAAGTTTAATTATTTTTGGTGAGATTTAATTTACGGACATTAGTGTGGTACGATGGGACGATAAGAACTGAGATCGGGTGCGTAAGTACTAGAATAGGGTACTTGAGGTCAATTAACACATCGAAAATCATAGTTTAAGATCCAACTGTAAATGCCGAAGCGTAGAAAGGCGAACCCTAGGCTCGTCAAATAAATAAAAAATACTTATGTACCTACACTACAATAATGTATGCACCTATGTATGTATTTCTATTCTAATATTTTTCCGTCAATTTTTTTTATAAAAATATGGTTTATACTACAACAAAAAACACAAAAATACAATTTCTAAACTTTGTGCAAAGCTCGCAAAAATTCAATTAATTTGTATGCAAATTTTCAATTTCTTAATCAGATTTTTTCGAATTTTCTTGAGTATGCAGTTTTGTAGCCCATTAAATTCTAGTATAAAAAATGCAAGCTCGGAGTTAGTCAAAAATCGCATTGATTTTTGATATTTTTTTGTTGAAGGTGTTTTACATTTTTTCCATATAAAGTATTTTCTAAAATTTTTTTTTGTATGGAAGACTGCGTGAAAAAAATGCCAAAAATCAACGGTAATTCGTAGCTACTTAGAACTTCTGCTTTATTACAATAAAATTGATTGGGCTACAAATCTGCATACTCAAACAAATTCTAAAAAGTAAGATTAAAAAGTTAAAAATCTGCATGAAATTTTGGTGAATTATCACGAGTTTTGCACAAAGTTTAGAAATTATATTTTTATGTTTTTTTGATGTGGAATGAGCCGTGTTTTTATAAAAAATTGTCGGAAAAGTTTTGCAGTAAAAACTGTTGCGTATATTGGGCCAATACTTTTTGCCGGCAGTGTATACAAAAAAAAAATCCAAATTTCTTTCGTCTCAGGCGTGTACGACGAACTTTTCTTGTTTGCTTAGAAGGTAGTGCGATCTAATGTACATATGTACGATAATTCTGTGTGTCTACTGTATTTATATGTATTTCTAGAATTTGTGTACACGCATCCATATGTATATATGTATTTAGGTAGACACGCATGCCTCGGCGTTCGCGACCCAATAATTTCCGATACTATTGCTGTTGTTGTTGTTATTACTATATTTATTTGTAGTTTTTTTCCTTTTTATAAGACGTTTTCCCCCCATTACTTATCAGCATTTGCCCGATGTGGCATTGCAGCAAGAACAAAAACCAAATGTATGGCAATAAAATAGGAACGATTTTGAAATGCATTGAGCTACAACCGTTTTAGCTTTGAATGTCTGCCACTGGCGATTGCAGCGTGTCGCAATCGGCCACAGTGCAGTGGGTAGGCGAGAGCATTTCCAAATATTGCGCGCCACCAAACAGCCGGAACGCGAAGAAGCCTCAATTCGAAAGTGGGCATACCAGTCAGTTATTTTGTATTCATATACCCTTTATGGAAATTTGTGTTTTAATTTTCTCCGTCAGAGAGATGTGTACTTTCGTCTGATTTGGTCAACTTTTATTTCCCATAACAGAGTTCTAGAGGCACAGCGTTAGTAAAAACTGTATTCTGATTGCATGCTCGGATTTTAAAAATCATACTCCCTGTATACTATTTCTTCCAAATCAGATTGTATGGTGCAACAAAAAAAAAAACAATTTTTTTTTTTTTTTTTTTTTTAAACAAGCTAAATCCTTAAGTCTCTTTTAAGCGTCTGGCTTTGCACTTTGCAGCCTTGTTTGTAATGGAGGAAATTTTTAATGCATTTTGAGCAAACGAATTAAATAAGAAAACCTTTTTGTAATTTGTTTAGACGATTTTTTTTCTATTCCTGTCTTAGTGGTAGAAGGAACCAACATTCAATACACCTGTTGTTATCATCAAACTCGGAGAGGCTGTGGCCTACGAGCCTTGCTCCATCGATACGCGCTGGCCATAGGCTTCAAGGCACAGGGGAGAGGAGCGAGATTGGCCTAGCAGATTCCCCCAAGATCCGTCGTCTTTCCATGTTTAGGAGAGGAGCAGATTATAATTATTACCCACATCTCTGCGGTGATCAGAGAGGACAGTTACACGTTGTACGTTGCACTCTATTTTCGGTTCCTATCATTTTACAATATTTCTGTATGGAATTTCAAACTTCTCCAGACCACTCATTTTTGGAAACACTTAATGAAGTAGGTATGGGATTTTTCTACAAAAATTACTTTATAATAGATATGTATGTATGAGAGTATTTCAGGAGTGTACATTTTTTTCAGCGCCCTGTAAAAACAGATAAATCAGTTTTTTCCTTAACTTCTTTATTTGGTGTCTGATTTCTAACCAAATTATATATCTTTGGAAAGGTATGTTTTAAAAAGCCTAAATAGCCCAGAAAAGATTATTCTATCACGTGGCAGTAAAAATTTATACTTTTTTTCTGAAAACGACACTCTGTAGGCAATAGAAAGAAGCTTAAAAATACACTCCCATGATGAAGAGAATATATATTTTACAAGCTTAATAGCTGAGAGCGGACGCTGTGTTGTAGCGGTAAGCAGTGCGCTCTACCATTCCACAGGGCCTGGGTTCAAGCTATGGTCAAAGCAACATCGCAAAAAAATATTGAAAAAATTGTTTTTTAACAGCGGCCGTCCCTCGGCTCCTCATCAAAATGCAATCCCCGTTCAGAGTCGGCGTAAAACTGTGGCCCCTCATCTTTGTATGACAACATCAAGGCACACGCCACAAATTGAAGGAGAAGCTGGGCCAAACACTAACATATGGATAAGCGCCAATCTATTACTATTATTATTAATAGCCGAGAACGATGCAGCCAACTTGAAAAAGCTTTCAGTGGTAGTTAACATTTTCATGGAAATCGTGATACATATATACATACACTGCACAGCAAATTTTTTACAATATACGCAACAATTTTTATTCTAATATTTTTCCGCCAATTTTGTATAAAAATATGGTTCATTCAACAACAAAAAGCATAAAAATATAATTCCTAAACTTTGTGCAAAACTCGCAAAACTTCAGCAAATTTTCATCAAAATTTTCAAGTTTTTAATCAGATTTTTAAGAATTTTTTTTGAGTATGCAGTTTTGCAGCCCATTAAATTCTAGTAAAAAAATATTAGAATGAAAATTGTTGCATATATTGTGAAAAATTTGCTGTGCCAATACTTTTTTCCGGCAGTGTAGTAGTGTGTAGTTTTAATTGAATATTCAATATTATTCAAGATTTTTCATTTAGTTCTACAATCAACAGTTTTTTTTTATAGCCAAAGCCAGTGTCGTCCTTACTTATTTAATATTTTTTTAAATACAGTCGTTGCTTTGAAAATATGTACTCAACTGAGTCTTTGGCTGTTATTCAAAGCTCACGTTGCGCTGTGTTCGTATTTGCACCACTTAACGCCATACTTTGCCGTTGCTTTGTTTTGGAGCTAAATACATTTTTTATGCACGGTTGAGTCATCCATTGCAAATGTTCATAAGTAGGCATGTATTTTCATATGTACATATGTACGCATGTATGTACATCCATCAACTATATACATGCATGCATGTATATACATACGTACAGTGTCGGACAAATGGCAGAAATACAATCGGAAAAACTGGTTGTATTTTAGAGGTTATTCAAACCAGGGATCGAATCCAAGTCCTACGGAGTAATGGAATGCACCTATAACAACTCAGTCACATCCGCCGTCAATGGTTATTATTTTTTTCTAAAGGCATAACTCATTATATAACAAAAACCATATCAATCCAAATGTCAGACTTTGTGCAAAAATTATAAAATTTATAGAAAATTTCAATCTTTTAGCTTAATAGTTTGCTCATATATTCAAAGTATATTTTGCCACAATTGCATGTTAAAGAAAATTGGTGTGTAGGTTTGCAACCCTTTAAATTTTAATATAATAATGTGCAAGTTTCAAGTTGGTAAAAAACCACTTCGATTTTTGACAAAAAAAAAATTCGAACGTACTTTGTTTGGCATAAAATGCGTAAATTATTAATGGAATTTTTTAGTAATTCCCACTTGCACTTTACTCTAATTAAATTTAATGTGCTGGAAAACTGTAAACCAAACTTTGTTCCAAAATTCTGATTAAAAAGTTTGAAAATTTGGTGGAACTTTTTCAGAATTAATATAATTTTTGCGCAAAGTCTGAAATAGTTATTTATATGGATTTTGTTAGATAATAAGCTAAATTATTATAAAAAAAAATAATAAGCATTAAACCAACAAAATAAAAACAATCGAACCTGACAAAATGTCTCGACTTTATTTATTTGTCCGGCACTATATGTATGTACATATGTATGTACTTACATATGCATATGGAAATAAATATACGTATAATAAATACATATACAGATCTTGTATACTGCATACATATGTATGTATATATACATATGTTCAAATTCTCGCCATCCAATCAACCGTCCGATCACCACTTTTCGCCGGTCTATCACCCCTGCCCCCATTCCTTTCATTCGCCCATTAAAAAAGTTGCTCCATTCGAAGCTCTGCTGTCCATTCGCTTCAAATCTGACTCAACAACGTTCATTGATCGGCGGCCCATCGCAATGTCGCAAAATACTCAACGAAACCGCTAAACAATTTCTAAGTAACTTCTGTTTATGGAATGCTTTGTGTTGAAATTGGCCTGGGCCGAAGCAGACAACACCACTGGCGGCACGGCTTGTCCACATAAGCCCATATAGCACCACTCCATATGTGTACATGCCGAAGTGTTTACGTATGCAAACATATGTATAGTAGATGTACATAAATATGTATGTGTATACATGTAGAGGCAAATATGTACATATATAATTTGCTGCTACTCGTATAATGACTTGTCGTATTACGGTTTGATTACCTCAAAAAATATATACATATATATGTACATATATATTTCTTCTGAGCTGCATGCATTTTGAACATATTTTTATGCACTTTCTCGTACTTGGAATCCGTTTAGTTTAAAAACCTTTGGAAAGTTACTATCCTACTTTTACGTTTGACTTTTTTTATGTACAAGTAATTTCCGTTTCCGCATTGCAAACTGCTGATACGAGATTCTAGAGTTCAGCTGAATTATGAAAGTGCAAGCAGCGCAAATTCAACTGAATAAAAGAATTTATAATGAAATAGTTATAAATGCATGTAGTTATTTGGGTTTTCATTTATACATTACGTTCTAAGGACATATCCAAATATAAGTAATTCTTTGGTAATGGTTTGTCTTTAATATAATTCTCTTCTCGTAGATAATTTTAGGTGCATAAGATTTTATAAATCGATTTTAATCAGAACATCGCACACGCTTAATATACCCACAAGCATTTCTTTGCCACCCAAGGAACTAGGCCACCTCCAACTCCCCCCTTCACACCTACCGCCATCCACCTTTTCAATTTGAAGAGACTGCGGCATCTTCCACAGAAACAAACAAGCAATAGAAAAAGCACAGAAGTAGTCTACGACACGCGAACAGAACACAACAGCACACAAAACCGCCTGTGGCCTGGCCTCAGCAACTCAGCTAATTATCACCACAAAAGTGTGATGCATCCAACTCCTACGCTCGCTGTCTTTCACGTAGCGTAAGCATACGGTCAATGGTAAACTTAAGCGCGAGAAATGCTGTGAGGGTGTAGGGAGGGTTATCCAGAGGCTGTGTCAACTACGTGTGCGTCATGTGTTCCATATCAATTATGACTACCGTGCAATAATAAACAAATTTATCAGCAGCGACAGTAGAATGTGAAGCAATTATCATGCGAAGCCACATCATTAGCAGACATTCATTCGCACTCACTACGCCAGTCGTTACTATGAAATAAAATGCTGGGAAAATAGTGTTAAAACATACAGATATACATATGGTTATAGATATAGGATCTATGTACACATCCACCAGCACATTATATTAGATGATAGCGGTGGGCCTGTAAAGTCAATGAGATGCTCTGTGAATAAAGAAATTAAGTGAAAGCAATACATATTTTAAACTAAAGAAGACTTTATTATATATATATTTTTTTTTATATTTTTGTAGGTATGTATTGTAGGTTATAGTGTTATAATTAATGCAAGGAGAGTATGTACGTTACTCGTGTTTTTTAGCTGAGGGGATCTAGGGGAAAATCGTTTTTTGTTTTTGGGGTTTTTTGCTTCGGTTGCTTGCTTTGTAAAGTAGTATTTTAAATACAATTTTAGGTATTTTATTACTTAATACAATTCGTCATTACCGTCATCATCATCATCATATCGTCTGTTTTTTAACATCGTCGTCATTATTACCTTCATTGTCGCGTATATTCCCAACGCCACCTGCTTCATGTGGCCGCTTTCGCGTCGCTTTGAATTTATTTAACTTTAATTTTGCTTCTTTGTGTGTTCTAGTTACTCAAATACTGTTTCTAGGATTAATTTTAAAAATTTAGAACAGTCCCTTTTTTTTCTTTTCCTTCTTGCCATCAACATTATCGCTGCTGCTATTCGCGCCAAGACTGCGTCGTTTCAATTCCTCAAGTGTGATATGATTAGCTTCCTCCCACTCCTTCTTCTCGCGTTCAAATTCACGCCGCTTCTCCTCCAACTCACGTACTTGCAATTCCAGTGCCTTCTTTCGTTCTTCATGACGTCGCGCTAACTCCAATTCAGAGTCCTTCAACTTCTGCATTTTTTCTTTCACCTTCATATCGAAGACCTGCTCCATTTCCGCTTCCATTTTCTTCATCTTCAACTCGTGCTCGCGTTTCTCTTCTTCCATTTGTGTCAGAGGATTCTTGTTGGAAAGACGGGCTTTTCCATCGACTAGTCCTAGCTCGGATAATTTGCGGCACCGGTAGTTCTCGTAGTGCACATTGTTGGTAACATCCTTTAGATCCTGTAAATGTGTGCGTATGACCATGTTGCGTAGCGCAATAAAATCGCAGTGACCCAGATTTTCCACCTCTACCAAACCCCATGGATAGCGGCGACCGCGAATTTTTTTGCCATCCATTTCGATTATGGAGTTGGCACCAACAACAGCGAAAGGAACGCGTACGCGTAGATTTTGTGTAGTCTTTGCTTCTTCGGCAGCGTCTTCAATGGTTGAGGGGAAATCGTAGATCTTAATTTTGTGCTGGGCAATTTCATTGAGGATCTGTTTTTTGAAGAGATGCACCTCGTCTGGTGTCATTGTGTCAGCTTTGGCAATGATTGGCACCAGATTCACTTTGTCGGAGAGACTCTGCATGCAAGCAATGTCCAATGGTCGCAGTCCATGGCCGGATGGCGCAATGAAATACAAACAGCAATGTACTCGGTTATCTGGTATCTGTTTGCGGTAGACGCGTGACTCAGCCGTCAAATATTCTTCATACTTGCTGTCTACATATTCGAGTATAGGTACCCAGCAATTTGTGTTATCGACAGCGTCACCAAAACCAGGTGTGTCCACAACAGTCAGCGTTAGATTGACGCCATTCTCTTTGAGCAGTACCTTTGTAGCCTCAACGGCAACAGTCTTTTTGCGACGTAGCGACGGACCAGGATATTGTTCCGCATTGTAGATGTCAGCTAAGAACATGGAGTTGATAAGTGTCGACTTGCCTAAACCACTCGCACCCACAACCATCAGTGTGAACTCGAAGCCGCGTTTTACCGCTTTGCGATACACTTGATTTGGCAGATTGGCGAAGCCGACATAACCCGCTATTTCCATTGGTTTGTTGCGCACAGGCAGTGGCGGTTTCTGCTTCTGCTGTAGCTGGTTTTGGTTTTCCTTCTCCTGCAACTCGGTGGTCACTTTGTTCGAATCGGCAGCACCGCTTGCAGCTGCATTGTTGCCAATATTGGCACCCACTGCACCGCCACCTCCATTGGTGGACGATGAGCCTTCTAGTAGATGACTCTTGTTAAGCACGCTTGGCGGCTGTGTTTGTGGCAACTGCGGAGGCTGTTTATCCCTCAACGCCAATTGCGCCAGTGTACTGGGCAGCGATTGTATTGCTCCATTGACAGCATTCGTTCTCGGGCTTTGCATGCTGCGAAATTTTCTCGCGTTACCACTATTTTAACGCTTTTCTAACACACAATTGCAGGATTTTCGCACAATTATACTAAAATATTATGTACTTTCCACAACGCGCTGTCACACCTATTTTTCTTCCTTTATGTTTTATGAGTTTTTTTTCCACAATTTGCTTGTGCCTTTTTCGTATATTTTCCTTTTGTATGTCAATTTGTGTCAACAAAATTCGAACGCGAACTGAAGCGACTCCAGCAAAACTACACCAGCTGCGGCGATTAGGTATTCGCCAGAGAGAGATAGAGCGATGAGCCAAATTCCAGCCACGAATACGTGACACACATGCGAAAGAAGGCCCGAAAGTGACAGTGTGCGATGAAATCGTAAATTATACACGTTGTTCGCTCTCACTCCAGTGATTGTTCGGCCGCTGCCACTCTCAGCGCACTCAAACGAAGTTGACGTCAACGTCGCAACGCAAGTGCTGTCACAGCAATTGTGTATTTTCCAGCAATGACAGCGGCAGTATTGCCAGAGGAACTATATCACGCTACGAGCAAGCAAATGAATTAAAACTTTTTTAATTTTTACAAGCCTAGCATTTACTTTCATTCATTAAAATTCCATTTGAGAAAAATAATGCAGCTATAAATGTCTGATCTCAACTACATTTTCAACAATTTCAGACAAAATATACTAAGTGTGTTTTCTTTGTTAATAACTTGCTAATGTACACGCATATGTACATATACACATATATGTATGCTTAAGCATTAAATACTCACAACTTGTAATTTTTTACTTTTAAGTATTGTATTAATTTTTTTATATGAAATAATTATGAATATTTATAAATTATACATTTTAAAGTTTAATAATTTCAGTCGCAAATATTTCTGCACTGGCAATGACTTGTTTCCGCGATGACGAAAGCGACATAAAATGAAAAGGAAGAGAATAAAAATGGCGCTCTCATTTTTGAAATGCTGCGCTGTCGGCGTTTGTATACAGTCATGTTTTTGAATTAACTTTCTATTTTTAAGACATTTTCTTCAGATGGATGCAGTTATTGCGCTTGGATATGGACTCTTTGGCTAATTAAGTTATTTCCTAGCCAAACTACTGTAATCTTCAATTAATTTATAGCATTCCAAAGATTGCTCTGCCAGCGACGACTTTCGCTGCTGCAGCCTTCGCATTTAAAACAAATGTGTGTATATTTGTACGTATGTATGTACAAATATTAGCCTGGGTCGAAAATTGAATTTGATTAAAATCTCTTAAATGGCGAGAATATGTAGTTTTAAGAGGTCAATGGCAATCGTATAAAATATTATTTCTTTATTTTAAGTGTTGCTTTGAATATATTTATATTTACATTAATATGAATGGAAAGCGTAGTTTTCTTATAAATATTCGAGAGATGAGATCTATGTATTTATCTATAGTTTTGTTGATAAATTATGTCAGAACGTAATATATTAAATTTGATAGCCTTTAGTTTTATTTATCGCTTGTCTCGTTCTATTAAAACGTTCCCTAGATACATGTATATGTATTAGCAAACACGACCGATTTTTCAAAAATACACACCCGACACTTTGAATTTAATTGTGATTTGTTTAGAGCTAAAACATTATGGTATCACTATTGCAGCATGCCCAAATAACTTTTATTTTTCCGCGTACAATATCGACCTAGCCTAATGTAAATACTTATGTTCTTTTTCAAAACTTCGACGGACTACTCTGTGCACTTTTAGTACTCGTTGTAGGGCTAATGTTTATTTTGCATTTTGCAACAGAATGCCTTATAATCATTAAGAGTACATATGCACATATGTATGTAATTGGTTATTGCCCATAGCGGGCATCCGGTAAAACAACCTTTCGGAATATGTACTATTGTCTGACGCAGGCCTTTGGTTTAAAAAACCATTGTATCGAAGAATTTATTTCTAATAAGCTAGCTAGCAAAACAATTGCTAAATTTTCACTACCGTACGAAATACCATGATAAAAACATAGCAAGGTAGAACCGTTCTCTCAATTTGTCGGCCATGATTTTTTTTCAAGTTTGCCAACATTTTAAAATCGTATAAAAATGAAAATAAAATATTGAAATTGTTCGAAATTGTTGTTGCTTGAGATTGAAAATGAAAATGTGTGTGTGAGTTTGTGAGTAAATTTAAAAATAAAATTGTTTGGAAACGTAAAGCATTTTAAAAGTGACTCTCAGCGGTGCTACCTTACTATATTATTATCATGCGAAATACGCATACGTTTGGTATGTTCACAATTGAAATCGTATATATAATCGTATTTTATCCCAAGTGGAAAATTTAAATGTCGTTCACCGGAAATCGTCCCATATTCATGATAAAGTGAACCATTTCGTTGAACGAAATATTTCTCCGGTGAAAATTTTCACTAAATATTTATGATAAGGCTACTTATACGCATGCGTGGCATTTATTTACGCATAGAAGTCAAAATCCGTATAACTCGCTTACGTTTTCATGCGAAGTTATTTAGATATGTTACATACACATACATATGTAGGGTGGTCCAAAATCCGTAAGAAAAGTAAACTCGAAAGCACTATTTTTTTTATATTTTAAAATCAAAAAAATATTTAGAGGTCGCTTAAAGCGCTCAAAATTTTTCATGTAGGTACATATTTTATATGGGAAGAACAACTATTCGTATAAAATGGTATAGAGTTCTTAAAAATCAATATTTTTTGATCGGAAAACTCTGCTTCTCTGCAAGATATTACATACCTATAGTAATACGCAATTTTTAATTTAACAACTTTTACATAGTAACTATCATTTATAGGTCAGCCAAAAAAACCCCAAAAAGTGCAATGATGGCACCATTAAAAATCGTTAGTATTAAACAATGGTTAAATAAACAATTGGGAATTATTATTGGAAGTCTCCTGAAGAGAACCATAGTTTTTCGATCGAAAAATATTGATTTTGAAGAATTCCATACCATTTCTACGAAACGTTTTTTCCCCCATATAAAATACATAGGAAATTTTCGGCGCTTTGAGGGACCTCTAAATATGTTTTATTTAAAAAATAATATATATATATGTATATATATGGGATTCTTCTTTCGAAAATTCCGACTTTACTTTTTCTTTGGACCCCCTAATGTACATAGATGCTTTTATAAGAATTTATGTTTAAGTTAATATAAGTACATAGTATATGTACATAAATATGTAGGCATATTTGTTCAAACGTTGATCAAAAATTCGGTCATCAATAAATTAAATTAAAAAAGTATGTACCTGTATGTAATTAAATGTATGGTAATAAGTATGTTTTAGCGCCACTCACCTTTAAACACAAAACAGTTGAATGCGTAATACACTTTTTCGTTTCAAAACGCATCATGATGCCAGCGCAAAAGGCGAATTAAGCACAACACATCACTAATGCTTTTTGCAAACAGGAATCATGAAAAAATACAAACAACACGACTGGCAAGCTTTCACAGGCGAAATATAGGAGCTTTTGCAGCATTTGCCGCCAAATTGCGCGCGCTGCTATTGCGGCGCAAGCCTCACAACAACAAAGCACATAGTGATTGCGGCTATTTTTTCATGCCATGCACTTGGCAGAGATTTGCCAAATATTTTCAAACACTCTTCTTTCACTCATTTTCACATTTTACACTATCAATTTTACATTACACACATGCATTAGCATACAAGCTATTGAAATAACATTAATTTAAATAAATTTCACTAACTTTTACCACTTTTTCACTGATTTAAACCTGTCGCGCACCAAGTCAAATTTTTCGTAACGACGCAAGAGCTCTCAAATTATGACTGAGGTAGTTCCGGCTCCTTCGCTCTGCCGGGAAAAGCTTACGTCGGTATGTGTCATTGGAAGTGCATAAATACGTGTGCATATACAAATTTACACCTGTACATGTGCTTTTGTGTGGGAGGAAGAATGCGTAAATTGCCTATTATGAATTATGATAGATCAAAAGATTGGAATGACGCTCATTTGACTTCGCGTTGGTATGTGCATGCATACATCCATACATACATACATATATGGAAATATTCATACATACATATATATGTACATATGTATGTATTTGGCGAATGAGCTAACGCAACAAGTTCAAATTGCCGTGTTTATGATTGCGCCCATGAGGGAGGATTTTTGAGCGTAATTTTGGCGTGACGTCATCTTGGTGCAATTGCAAGAGAGAAATGCCAAAACGTATAGGAAAACATGTAAACAACGCAGAATAATGTGTTGATATCAATATTAACGCGTGGGTCTTGATATCTATCCCACTAGAGAGAGCATAGTTCACACTTTGTAAAAAGTCACACCTGACCCCTCCAAACCTTCCACATACCCCTGGGGAACCATTGGAAAATGGTCTAAAATTAGCATTTTGACAACGGAAATTTAAACTCGATAAACAGTATTTTTGTGCAGAACACCTTTCTATTGTCAAAGGTATTCAACATTTATTGTGCATATAACTCCGGTTACGCTATCCACAGTATATTTGCCTAGAACTCACTCCGAAATTCATTAAAAAGTGCATTTTTCAGACCGAATTTATTAATAAATGAGTGACAAATTTCAACATTGGGTTTTACAATAAAGTGTAGACCCTTCCCTACAAGTGTAAGTAAAATTTTTTGGATCGGGTCACCCATTCGGACACAATAGCCGGAAATCATTGGGCAAATAACTAAACTATACCTAGTGAAATCGTTATTTATATTTTCTTCAATCAACAATTGCACCAAATTCACAACGAGGCGGATTAGCGGTACCATGATGGACGTAATCCGGTGTGCAAACCTCATTTTATTTTAGTGTGGTGGAATCGGCAAAAAAATGTGGTAGATTTGACTAAGATGTGGTAGATTTTCCAATTCATATTTTTATTGGGTATACATACGGTGACCATTCGTCCTGTATTATACGGGACAATCCTGTTTTTCGACCCATTGTCCTGGTAATTTATTTATTTTATACGGGACGCCAAATGTTCTACGTGTTTCTTTTAAAATCCTGTATTTGTCCCGTAATCGGTGTTCGTTATCTGGACGCCTTAACAGCTGATTAAAATGGCATGCCTATGAACCAGTTTAAGTGAACAGTTATTATTTTCTATTCTGAATGCCTGTGATTCGAATTGAAGAACACATACAGTGACCAAAATAATAATGAGGACTCCACATTTTAGCAAGGTTTGACTATTTTTAACCGACTTCCAAAAAAGGAGAAGGTAATCAGTTCGTCGGAATATATATTT